CACGAGATACAGGTAAAATCACTGTTTCTCAGTCTGTCTCCCAGTTTAGTAAAGTTGGCACTGTAGAAGCTTCAGTGGGAAGCTGAATCCCACAGAAGGTTCACCCTTGGTCCCTGCAAAGATTGGGACCTGGCCGCCGTCCCTTGGAGCTGGTTTGAGGGAAAGCCCACAGGGCAGCAGGTGCACTGCCTGTTTTTTCTTCTCTCCCCTACTGCTTCTCCCCTCTTCCTGGGCAGAGGCCTTTGGGCCAGGGACCCAGATGCTCCATCTCCTCTTTTGGGGATGGGTCATCGGTGAGGTCTGATGTGAAAGGGAGGCTCTCCGTGTCACCCTGCCCTCGATTTGAATCGTTTTGTGATTAATCTTAATTTTGGTCAATTAATCCCTGGTCAATCATGTTTTTCCAGTTTGAGAGGAAAGAGAAAGGCCAGTTTAATTTGTAAAAACAAAAGGCAAGCCCCCCATCTCCCCTTTATACCCTTTCAAGCTACTCAGATGCTATGCATGGGCAGGCAAGGCTGTCGCTTCTGCTCACCCCTCGGTATGCCTGCTGCCTGCTTAGTCTTTGGTGTCCGTGTGCGTGGCAGTCACGAGGACCTGTCATGCCAGCTGGGGTGGGGGCGGCTGTTGGGCACGGCTTCACTTCCAGGGATATTTAGCCCTTTCCATGGTTATTGGCTGGTTATATACATCATGTGTTTAGTTACCTGCTCTCTGGGGCCAGGGCTCTGTACTTCGTTAGATCTTTTCTTTCTGCACTAATTAGCAATTCCAATCCTGAGCATCTATGTTACAAGGTTTTTTTTTCTTCTGGTTTTCCCCCCCTGGATCATGTGTCTTTGGATTTTGTTTGCTGAGCACTTTATTTTCAAGACGTATTTTGGAATCTTTGGCAGTAAGGGAATTGAAAGGAAGGCTGGATTCTTCCGTCCAGTACTATGTTGAGCTGTTAAGACAGCTCCAAGGGTAAGGCGGAGGAGGGCGGCCTCTCCTGTTACTTTACTTTGTGGTCCTAAAAAGCATTAAGTGTGTGCAGGAAAGGAAGCCACTTCTCATTTTTATGTAAATGCTAAGGGCAAAGACATGACTAGAATAGACACTGACACCAAGAAATGGGCTGGCGTGTGGAACACGACACCCCTCTCCACAGGGGAACACGCTGGGGGTAAGATTTGTTCACTGCCTTGAGTATAGAGAAGACATACATTTTTAATGTATTAAATTTTTTTACAAAGCAATATAATTTTTTGTTTTAAAAACAAACATAAAAAGTGAGTTCCCTGGTCATTCTCCCTGCCCAGAGGTAAATCACTGCTAACAGTTGGATCTGTGTCTGTGTCTCTGTGTGTATGGAGACCTCCTCCCGGGACACACACGGGCCACCCTGGCCTGCTGCCCTGCCCGCCTGGCACCTGCCTTTCCGTGTGGTCAGGTGCCGTGTGCTCCCTGCTGAATCTCGCACAGGTGACTTGGTCCCCTGCACGTATCTGTTAACCAGCCCCCGGCAGAGGCGCGTGCTGCCAGATGCCCTCAAGCCCCCAGTGCTGCAGGGCTGTCCCCGTCCACGTGGCTCTGCACACCCAGCCTGTCTGTAGGATTACTGCCCGAGAGTCACTAGGTGGTAGCAGCAATTTGGAAATTCAGAATCACCCTCAGAAATCCTCCCCCCAACCCCTTCACCAGCGCTGCTAGCATCAGTCACCCTTTTAAACTGCCTCTTTGCCTCGTGGAGGATAAGGTACTTTAATTTAATTTCATTATTAGCAGGATTAAGCATGCTTGGACTTGCTTTTGAAAGTAGGAAGGTTATATAAGATACGGAGAAAATTAAGAATGCAAATAAATTCCAGGTAAGGCCAGACTTTTCAGCAGTGCCCTTTACCTAAGTCTGCCCTCTGTGCAGGTCAAACTAGAGCCTGAAACACCAGTTTTAGTGGCATTTCAGATATTTCCTAGTGCACATGGTGTCCTCCTGCCCTTGGGGAACATGCCTGGGGGTGAATCTGGTGTCAAGCTTCCCATGACACCAGCAGCCCCTGACCACACACACTCCTCCCCGGGGCGGGCGACAGGAAAAGTCAGGCCAGGGGAGGAGGCTTATTTTATATTTCCCAGTGCTAAGCTGCCTGGGCTCAGGGACACATGCACCCACCCTCCGCAGGTGCCACATGCCCCCCAGAAAGAGACAGTGCTGTGCGTGTCCCTGTGCGAAGGGTGGAACGATGTCACGTGGGTGGTGTGACTCCCTTCTGAGCACTTGTCCGTCATCCCTGATCAACTGCTGATTATTTGGTATGTGCATCTGTCACTCCGTTGCCCTCTGCCTCCTTCCTGGCCCCCATCCAGTGCACATGGCACACGTGCCCGGGTTTGGGTGCAGGAAGGAGGGGCAAAGCATGTCGTGACAACATGACTGGCATGTTTGCCCCTGCAGGGCCACCTGAGCGGAAAGCTGGTGTCCTGTATGCTTTTCTGTTGGCCAGGGTGTCATTGGGGGGTGGGGGTGGCCCAGCTGGACTCAACTCCAAGGCTGAGCATGGCCCCTGCAGCTGGAGTGCTGCTCCCAGGATCAGTTCTAAGTTCTGGGGAAACTGAAACAATAAACTGTCGTGTGTGTGTGACACAGAGAGCTCCTGAAACCAGTTTCTGATTCCTGAGAGGACAAGGCCATTTGGGATGGTAGTGACATTAGCACCACAGCCAGGGGTGGGGAAGGGGAGCGGGGTGCAGCCAGGAGTTGGGGTGGGGGGCAGCCTGGAGGCAGGGACGTCGGGCCTGGCAGGGCATGGTCTCAGGGTAGCCGCTGTGTTGTCTGCCCGTGGCTGGGAGGGGAAGGCGCGGTCAGGTGTGTCTCTTCTGCTCTCCTGGCCACAGGGCCTGGAGGGCATGTGGGGCTTCACCTGCCCTGTATGGGCAAACCCAGTAGATAGGAAGCCAGAACAGGCCCCCCCAGCAACTGTCAACAGCCGTCATCAGGCTCCCCTTTCATGGGTTCCCTGGGGACGCCAGTGAGGGCACTGGCTTAGCATCCTGTTGTTGACGGAAGCACTGACGCCTCACAAGTGGTAGTGAGTGGTGTCCCCTCTGTGACCCACCCCCTCCTGCCAGACATCTGGTCCCAGAAAGGGAAGCTAAGGTGTGGGGTGGGTGTGACGGACCCCAGATAGCACCTTTGGTCCATGGTGCCTGCCTTAGAGGACCCCAGCCTCTAGTCACTGGTCACATCAAGGAATGCAGTGCTTGACTGGAATTTTTGTGCCATAAAAGCACACACAGCACAGGTGTGCATGCATATGTGTATACGTATACACATACGCACGTGTGAACACAGTGCACATACCTGTAGGTGTCTGTGTATGAATACACACAGATACATACTTGCAGATGGCACATGGGTACACGCTTATGTACATGCACAGTGCACACAAATGCACGCAGAGATGCATTGTGCACACACATGGTCTGATACACACGTGCATGACTGGACCTGCAACAGGTACATGACACATGTGAAACATGTAACAGTCATTGCCCTGTTTCCTCTGCTCTAACCCCACCCCCGACTTAATTCAAGGCCACTGGAGTGGAAAGCTGCCGTGTGACAGGCACTGATGGGCATCTGAGTGATGGGCTCAGAGACCTCTCTGGATTCCATCCTCCTGACAGTTAAAGTGGGTTTGTGCACTCCTGAACCAGCACACTTTTGTGTCAGTAATGGGTGTGACATCGTGTCTGTCTGTGTGACACTCCTGTCTCAGTGTGACACTTTCACAAGCAGGAGCCTAAATGCACACTCCCAACACTCAGCGCCCAGCAGTAATGTCCACGAAAGCCAGCAGGATGGGCGCTTTGTCCAGTTGCTTCCATTTGAACATTTTGGCTTCAATTCTTAGTGTGACATCCTGTCAGTGATTGCCGAGCCAATGTTCCCGGGTGAGTGCACAGTGGCTGTGTGCGTGTGTGTGCGCGCGCGCGTATGGTGTGCTTTGCATGGCAGTTTACAGCTATACAAAGCAGTGCCTACTTGTCAAAAAGAATAAGCATATACCCTTCCAACGTCATAAAGCAAAACGTGCAGCCCCCACACCTCTCCCCAAAGAGGAGGGTGGCATGGACCCTCCTGACATTTGGCTATTCATGTCGATTTTTTTAAAGACCATTTGGGGACAAGAAGCAGGGTCTAATCATGCCCATTGGGAATCTGGCATCTGCTGATGAGATGAAGACAGTTCAGAGCTGGGTGAAACCCATGCTGGGAAGCCTGCATGTGCTTCTGCAAGAACTCAGCCCATCCTCCCTCCGGTTGCCGTGGGCAGGGCAGCCTTGGGAATGGCCAGGAATGGCCACCCGGCTGGTTCAACAGCCGCCCGGCCTCTAGGTGGGTCCAGGCTCAAGGTGATTAAGAGGAATGTTTCTCTTGTCACCTAAACCAGTCTGAGCGGCCTACGTGAACAGCAGCCCTTCCTGCAGGTCCTAGAAAGAGACTAGACCCTCCAGGCATCCTGCTGAGACTCACTTGGCGTGTTTGTCAGGGCAGCTCGGCCTTTCCCAGAGCTGTGGTTGTGAATGCCTGTATGAGGTCCTTTCTAAATTCCTGTTCGTTCTGGGTAGTGTGTTGTGAAACTTTCTGCCACTGAGGCCTCACCTTGGTTCTCTCCAGCTAAAGCTCTAGTCTTCTAACTGGGATATTTGCCTCCCACCCCACCCCATTTGCCCTACCTTAGAAGGGACCACATCACTGAGCATTTTCAAGACTCAATTCAAGAAAATAAAACAGGAGGCGGATGGGAATGGGGTGGGCAGCCTGGGAGGAGGTGGCCTTGAGACCAGCGTACCTGTGGTAAGGAGCCAGCCACCAGGAGGTCCTGAGGGTAAATGCTCAGGAGGTGAGACCAGCACATGCAAAGGCAGTGGGGTGCATCCTATGGGGGGTGGTGTGCACAGGAAGGGTGGGAGGCTAGGTCCCCTTGGGCACTCTTGGAGCTGCATTTTACACAACTCCTGTTCTGCTGCTCAGGGCACTTCTGCTGCTTGGTGAATAATCCTGTTTCTGCAAAAGTGTGTGAGCCCCCAGTGTGGCTGCATAGATGCACCTCGCTCTGTTCCATCCTTGGGCACGGCTACCTGCAGGGAGCCGTGCTCTCTGCTTCTGCACCCACTGAGCTGCTGGACATCTTTTTATTATTTCTCTGATAACCCCTTGTATTTTCACTCTCTCCTGGAGCTCCAGCAGTCACATGAGGGTCTCCTGAAGCTATCTTCCACCTTTCTTATCTTTTCTGTCCAAGTTTTCATCTCTGTCACATTGGTCAAGTCTTAGGAAACCTCCTCAACTTTATCGTCCCGCCCTTTGACTGAATATTTTGTTTCTTTCATCAACATTTCAGTGCCTGAGGTCACTTTCATCTTCTTAGGTTGTGTGTCTCTGTGACTTCTCCCTTTCCAGCTGTTTGGTCCACAGAGTCGGTTAATTGCTAGCAGGGGTGTGCTGAGGCTGGTGGTGTCCAGACAGGGACACCAGGGGATATGAGAGGTAACTTAACCTGGGCAGAATGAGGAAGCAGCAGAATGAGGAAGGAGCTGGGAGAGCTTCCTGGAGGCAATGACTCAATCAGGTGAACAGGAAGCCAAAATTTCTCCCCACACCCTCTTGGGAGGTTAGGTTTGGCCCAAGGTGTCTGGGAGCAGCAGGGCAGGTAGCTAGACAAATGCTGGCCTGTGGCATGTTGGGGGTTGGGCAGAGGAAGTGAGGGAGCTGGCTGCCCCTCAGATGTCTTGAAAGATGGTCAGGATGCTGACGGTGATGGCAGGGGTGAAGGGAAGCTTCTGGAGAGGGAGGATCCCAGGGATGTCAGCTGGACAGATAGACCTGGAGATGGGTTGGCTTGGTGAGGGTGGAAGGAAGAGGAAGAGGTGAGGATGGCTGATTCCTGGGACCTGCAGGGAAGTGGAGAGGGGTGAGGGGAAGGTAGCTGCTCCGCCACATTGCAAGAGGGCACTTGGTGTGAAGAGACAATTGTGTGCCAGTGGACTCCGTGTGAGGCTTCCCAGGGCAGCACATCTGCAGAGTATGGGGGCTTCTGCCATCACTTAATTGTATCCCCCAGGTGTGGTCAGCAAGGGTCCTGCCTCTGCTTAGGCCGGCGTTTTGGTTTAAGCTCCCTCCTGAGAAGTTAGGAACCAGTCTATCTCAGAGTGTCTCTGGGATCCTGGTGGGGCCTCAGGCCAGGGGCAAACCCTGGTGCTCAGTTGCCCCGATTCCCTGATCTGGAGCAGGGCTGTCCTGCAGCCCCTGACAGGGACCCTTGCAGAGAGTGCTTGGGGAGGCCAGGACTTGAGGGCAGTGTTGGGGCCAGGCGACCTGTGGACCCCCAGCCCCACAGTTGCTGTATTCAGCACAGGACTGTTCTTTCCATCGGGTGCTTCTACTCAGTGACAAACAGAGCCCATGACCACTGTTCCCATGGGTGCAGACTTACAGTGATGCTGGAGGAGCGAGGCCATCGGGTGGCCCTGTCCCCTGCAGGAGGTCAGCTACTCATGCATGACCAGTGCGTGTGTGTGTGTGTGTGTGTGTGTATCTGTATGCGTTCATAGGCATGTGCATGCGTACAGGTAGGTTTCAGCCTCTGTGCCGCCCTCTGGTCTTTTAGCTCTGACAGTCGCCCTCAATGAGGATTACAGGAATTGGGAAGCCAGAGTCTCTGAGGCAAACTGAAACCCGGGTTCCGTTCCCTTCCTTCCCATCGCATTACCAACTAGACACAGCGGCCACACGGGGAGGAAGCTGGGCAGCCAGGCAGGCGTTTGTCCCCCTGGCCTGGGTCCCCATGTCTACTTTGCATCCCAGGCCGGCCCAAGGAATGGGAAGCCCCGACTCCTGTAACTCCACCTGATGTCTTGTCTGTATAAGGCTGTCCCCCAGGGGGCCTCTGTGTTCCCATCACTCTGCTCCTCAGCAGATGGAGTCCGTGGCTGAGGATGTGGGGAGAGCAGAGCCGTGGGGGATGTTGAGCAAACAAAACGCAGGCGTTATCACCACACATCATTCCTTTTCATTTTCTTCCAGAATTTCTTCCGAAGGCCATAAAGCAGCAGTGCGAGAACCAGACGGCCTTTGACATTTGCAGTGGTGAGAGCAACCTGACTTCACCCATAGTGCTGAGAGTGCAGGTCCTCAGGGCTCGTGCCACCCACCAGCTCCGGGCTGTGCTGCAGGTCATGGCCCCGGGGCCTTGGACATACATGGCAGTGGAGAGAGTGATGTGATGAACCCTGTACCATCAGGGCTCCTGCAGGGCAGGGGTTCACCCCCATCCTCCCTCCCGTGTCCTCCTCCTCTGTGCCCCCCAGGAGGCTTTGAGGCAAATTCCAAACACTCTTCATCTGCAAATGTTTCCCTGGGCATCTCCTATAGAAAAGGATGCCGCTTTTTTTCCCCCTCTTTAGAATAATCAGAATATCATTATCACGTCCAAAACAGTGTCATCAAGTAGTCAGTGTTCACATTTCATGGACTCTCTCATAAATTGACTGTTCTGTTTGATGGGGTTGAAATCAGGCTGTCTGTGTGGCCAGGCACTCTGTTGAGGTCTGTTTCTAGGAGCTGCCCTGGGCCCACTCACTGGGAAAGCCACTTGCAGTCCTGTCTGGCCCCCAGCCTTGGCCTGGCTCCTGTGAGAGGTGGGACCCTCCACCAAGCCACTTTCCATCACAGCCCAGAGCCACGTGCACATTGAAGGACTGCAAAATGAGATCTTCTGACCCTTCCTGCCCTTCTCTGTCTGTGAGCTGGAATGTTGTCTGTCACCAGCTAATGACATCTTCCCAGGCTGGTTCCTTTAGAAATGGCAGGATCAGTCCTTGAAATCCGGGCCTTCATTTACAAGTTTTCAAAATAATTAGTTCATTCTCTCCAAAGGGAAATAGTGAGTGTGATTTTTTTTTTTAAGTATGACCATGGCTCATGGATGTAAACGTGCTGGAAGTGTCCAGAGCCATCGCAGGCCAGACCCTTACTCCATGCTTGCATTGTCCTCTCCTGGCCTCTTGACAGCCTCTTCTGGGCTCCCGAGTCCTTAGACACGACCCCAGCAGTTGGTGTGGTTTTCTTGTTCTCTGGGATCAAGTTGGTCCACATTCATCTTGTGCATGTTCTGCCCCAGGCCTCATAGTTTTTAATCTCCAGTCAGGCAGGAATAGTGTTCAATTTCTGTTTCACATAAATGAGATTCTGGACATCACCTTGGGAGAATAAAGTACTTAAAACTGCAGGGTGCTCAGAGCAGAGGGAGCCTAGGGGCCTGCCTCCTGGGACTCAGCCCCTACTCCCCGTGTTCTTTAAACCCCCTTCCTCTGAGCCTCACCTTCCCCATGACTTGGGCTGACACTGCCCTTCAGGATGTCATCCTGGGAGAACTGCGGTTCCACTGCACACACACGCCGGCCTGCAGTTGCTTGGTGAGAGCCCACATTGCTGTTAGTGGTGTCACAGTGGCCCCTTGGGGTGACTGAGAGGCCTAGGGCCCTGTAGACATAAAAAGAAAACTGAAAGGACCACAGCCACGCTTCAGTGCCACTCATAAAAATGTGATCAAGGGCCCGTCAGAGTTCCGTTCCCATGTCCTCAGGCGATGCATGTAGATGATGCTTAAACTCTGCATTTTAGTTTTTCTAAAGGCAGCTGCTGTTTGAAATGGGATTTTGTTCTGCTTTCATGGGGCCTGATTAGGACTCCCATTCCTCTGGAAACACTGCTGGGGGATTCACTTCACTGCCGTGCAGAAGCTCTGTGTGGTTCCTGGCCTCTGAGTGCCCGACGGCCGGCTCTGATCCTCTGGGAAAAATAGATTTTTTTGGCATCAGTCCCAGCATGTCACACAGCAGATGGAGAGTCCGAGGGAGGGGGAGGCAGGAACGTGGGTGCCTTCGGTGATGCAGGCTGTTGCTCTCCATTCTCTGCAGGGCAAGGGGCCGAGGCACCACCACCCTGACTCATCCAGTGCAGAAGGAGCAGGAGACCAGAGCTTTGTGCATCTGTGGGAACACTTGACCCGAGCACCCGTGCTGCTCCATCACTTTCACCTGCTGCCGTCACAGACCATTTAAAGGCTCAATCCTGCCATTTCACTGATGGTTAAAGTAAACAGCAGTGACTTTTTACCGGACTGGAGAATCACTTTGGAAGGGATGGAAAAACCCACTGTGATATTTGAAAATGCCTGTGGTGTAGCTTTTTTTGATAATTCAGTCCTCCCCACTTATAAACGTTTAGTTTTTGCAGTTGTTTTGTTGTGAATCACGGTCATCCGGGAGCAGCCTTCCAGGTGACACTAACAGCTAGAACGATGACGAGGCCCCCATTGCTCAAGGGCCCCAGTATCTGCTCTCCGGGCCTCACTTTGCAACTTCAGGTGTTACTGTCTCAGGAAATACTGGTGCTGTGAACACCACCATGTGCTTTGTAAACTGTACATTTTTGATACCAATACCTCCTTTGAAAGGGGGAACATGCACTAGGGACCCTCATTCCTCCTCACAGGCATACTGGAAGGTCTCAGAAGATAAAGCAAAATGTGCAGAGAAAGGGAAATCAAAACGGGTAACGTCTTTTACAGGGTTCAAAGCCGACCGAGGCGTTCCTTAGTTGCTTCACTCTCCTGAACGCCTGACTTGCTCAGTGCAGCCCAGCCGTGTGGCTCACCCCTCAGAATTCTAACAGTCACGTCCTCCTGACTCACCGTGCAGGTGACCCTTCTGTGTCCAGCTGGTAAGCTTGGGATTCTCAAAGCAAGAGCTTTTGAAAATTAAAGTTTATCTGAATTGAATTTATTCAAATGGCCTAAAGAAAACTACAGAAAACAACATCTGGTGCCTATTGGCTGAAGGTGTAAAGTGCAGGGTTCATGCGTCCCCTGCACCCCAGCAGCCTAGCACGGTTGCTGCAGGATTGCTGCATTTTGGGGCAACATCTCTCCCTTGAGACTCTGTTCCTTCTCTAGGAGATGCTGGGCACCTTAACGTGGTGGCCATCTGGGAGCACTGGGCTGTTTGTCTCCGTCCTGAGCTCTGGGTTACCCTGTCATTCACTGGGCTACCCTGCATCTAACTGGTGCTGGGCTCATATCAGAGTCTCAAAATTTAAGACCCTGTCTTCCTTGGTAGTTGGTCAAGACAACTGAGTTACGGTAAATTTCTGTAGTTATTGGTAAATTTCAAATTGATAAATTTTTTTAAAAAACCAAAACCAAAATTTTGGCTAAGCTATTTTAGCAAAATACCAAACACTTTCCATACACAGCATTGATCCGGACACAGCAGGGTCTCCAGGGCACAGCCTGGGTGGGGCCACAGGCAGCTGGGCCCACTCAGGCCATACCAAGGCACCTTTCAGCAGTGGGACAAGACCCCTGACTCCTGCCACCCCTTTGTGAGGTCCCTGGGGCCATTTCTCTACTGTCCCCAAAACCCAAGGAGAATCACACTGGGCAGCCCTCCCTGGCCCCTACTTCAAACACATACCTGCATGGATCCCACTCACTATCAGTGGCTTACAGGCCCCTCAGTCTTCAGTGGGAAACAACTTACTGTCTTCCTGGGGGTGCCTGCTATCCAGCTGCAAAGCACCCCCCCCCAGGCAAGGGCTGGCACCTGGCCAACAGCATGGCCCGTGGACCACATTGTCCCAGGCCAAGAGGCCCCCCGCCAAAGTTACTGCTCACTGGTGAGGGTGGAGCCGGGCCTGGCTTTCTGGAGGAGACTGACAAGCTCTGCCACGCTTCTTTCCTCGGACATCAATCCCACAAGTTCAAAGGGATGCCAGCCCAGAACGTTCACTCCGCTCCATTTTAACAAAAGTAAAAAACTGTCATCTAAATGTATACTCATCAGGAACTGGCCAAATAAATAACAATACAGCCCGCTCGGCAGGCGGCACAGACCATCAAGCCAATGCTTACTGGGAAGTACGGATCAACACGATGTATTACTAGATGCAAAGAGGAGATGGTAAAACAGCACTTAAATGTAAGCTTATTCAGGTAGAAAAAAAAAGCCAATGAAATCCCCCGCCCTTCTGGGTGTAGGCGTCACCACTCGAAACACTCCTTGGAGCCGACTCCCTGATCCCAGCAGAGCAGCACCACCTGCTTTTGCAGGTGAGCTCACTGGGGCCAAGTGGATCTGATCTCAGAGCCGGGGCACCAGGCAGGCTGGCCGTGACCACCGTGCAGGAAGAGGACGGGGGCCAGGTGCGGGTGGAGCTCAGTTCTGAGCAGGCGACTTCTGAGGCATCTTTAATATCTTCTTGGGACTTATCTGTACCTTCTAATTTGTTTACATTAGAAAATGCATTATTTCTTTTCCTATCTTTCTTACAAAACAATCATGTCACTTCCAAACAGCAGCATTTGCCCCTAGGCCACCGCACAGCAAAGAGGAAGGTGGCCTTGAGTCCCCTAGAGTGCAGTCCTGCCGCCCTCAGGGCCACATCCAGAACTTCCAGTCCTCAGACCAGGACCTGGACTTTCCAGTCTGCAGGCCAACGCTGGTTATGCAAGTCTTTCTCTCCCGGTGTCACACCTCATTCACCTCCGCGTCTCTGCTGCTCTGCCCCATCCCTTTAACCCCCAGAGAGCTATAAATCACTCTGGGTGCTGGGCCCAGCAGCCTGGGTCCCAGCTCTGGGTCCCCTTACTAGCTGTGTGACTCCAGGTCAGCCACTTCACCCCTGAGCTGTGAGACGGAGCTGGCCTCAAAAAGTGCGTGGGCTACTGATAACACCAGTCAGCACAGTGTAACTGACATTTAGTGATAATACTAAAATCTACTACAGAAATCCAGATCTTCTTCTGTGCACCTCCAAGCACCTCTGGTCTGGGCCTGTGACTCTCACGCCTTGTCCTAAAAAGCGTCACCCTGCAAGGTGGCACCTGCTCACCTGAGAACACCTGGGGACAAGTGTTGCTGATGTGAGCAACTGACTCATGCAATGACCTAACATCGTATTCCCAAGCAGAAGAGTAGGAAGCCCATGGAAGGGAGGAGGGCACTGGGGTTGCACAGAGGCAGCCAGTGAAAGCCAAGGCCAGGCAGGAGAGGCACCCTCGGCCCCTCCAGTGCACCACGCACACCTGGGGACCTGCACTGCCTTCCTGGTGCCCGCACCACAGTACCGGCCACTCTGTGCCCCTGTCCACCCCTCATTACCTCTCGTGCCCCAAGAGTGAGGCGCATGCAGGGGCAGCAGGAGCGGCACCCAGGGCTGCCAGCCACCTCGATGCCTGCATTCACTCAATACACTTTGTTGGTTTACCTCTAAATCACTCAGTCACTGGGATGAGTCCGCCGTGGCTCTTGGTGAGAACGCTGTCTCTCTGAGAATATAAATCAAACAGCCCTCACCGACGTAGGATGCGGCTGCCATCAGATTAGCAAGTTCTTAAGTGGTTGGAGTGTGTGCCTCTGAAGAGATGAAGGGCCATCAGAGTCTATAATGGGAGCGGGACTGGCACGGAGCCATGCCCCACAGCCAGGCCACAGCAGGGCCTCCCGAGCCCGGCCACGCACAGCTCTGCCACACCTCCACCCCCACCCACTGAGGCCCACGTCGGGATAGCCCTGTGAGAGGCCCACAGCCCCCAATCCTGTAACACTGGAGTCTCGGGGGATGAAAGCCCCGATCGATGCTCACGCAAGGGCCCAGGTGCAAATGCCCACGGGCCCTGTGCAAACAAGACGGAATCAGGGCGTAGGGCCAGCAGAGTGCGGCCAGTGCCAACCGGGCAGCTTCCCGTGTGCCTCTGGGCAGCGCTGCCCACACCTGGAGAGCCAAGATGGGACCTCAGGGGGACCTGGAGGCCCACATCTGAGGGGAAAGGCTGTTAACAGCGGAGGAAATCATGCCCGACACAGCGAGAGCCCTGGAACACTAAGAGGTAAGCGGTCACCCTCCAGCATCCTCTCCTAATGACAGCAATGAGAATGTGAAACCAACGGAAAGCCCACGGGGCTGAGCAGTGCACCCAGGACAGGGGAGCCCGGAACTAGGAAGACTGGAACGCACACCCCGCACCACCTAGTGCACCCCCCCTAAGACTTTGGCAGCCAGGGCTCCCCTCCACGGTCCTGCCCATTCCAGGGTTCAGTTCCCCTTCATCGAGGCAGAAGGAAAGCCTGGCCGGGCTCTGTACCCCTCACCCAGCGCCCCCTAAGTCCACACACAGCCACCGCCTCCTTGCTCCCCTGTTCTTCCCTGCCGGAAGAATTCTCCACCAAACACAGGGATCACCAGGTTACCTCCGTTCACCTGTGGCTCCTTAGAATTCCTTGTGGAAATCTGTGGCCGGTTAGGATGGTGGGTTTGAGTCCCGCTCAGACGAGCAAAGGACCTGAGAAAACAGGGTGCTTTTCCACCTCTGTCGCAACTCCGGCAGCCTCCAGGGCCTGTTTCCCCTCCCGGGGAGCCCCGAGCGGCCTCCCAGCTTAGAGCTTGGAAACGGCCCCCCCAAAGAGTTCCCGCAGAAGCAGCCTGAGCATCCACAGGGACTCCGAGAGCAACGTGAAGCCTGGGCTGACAGGTGCACATTCAGAAGGACCTCGCACACTTGTCTGCATGGACACGTCACACCTGTGCACACCTGTGCCCACACGCACAGAGGCCGAGGAGCCAGGCGAGAGCGGAGGCCGAGGCGGGCAGAGCCCCTGTGCAACCCACGATCCTGGCCCACACAGGAAGCGCTGAAGGCAAGACACAGGCAACGAGAGGTCCCGGGACGGAGGGTGAGCGCGAAGCCCCGAACACAACCTGGCTGACTCTTTTCAACCTGAAAGCTCCCAGGAGGGTCAGCCCAGTGTCCTCGTCAACCTCGTCCTGGAGCAGTGGCCCCCGCCAGCCAGCAGCTGGGTCTGAGCCAGCACAGGGAGAGACGGGCCTCACACCCATGACTGTGGACTGGCATCCAGCTCTGCCTCCTCTGTGCTCTCCCCTGAGTTTCCGGTCAACAAAGCAGCACGAGATGCCCTCTGGGGACTCGCACGTCCCGAAAAACAGGCATGTATCTGGTGCTGCAGAATGATGCTTGATAACCACGGGAAAATTAGGTTAGCTTCCAAG